AGGTGGCGGCCCGTCCGAGCGCACGTGCAGTGTGTCACACGCTCGTAGGCAGGGGTAAACTGGTGGACACCCCCGTCCTGGAGCGCACTACCCGCCACCAAGTTCGTAGAGAACGAGGGGAGGTAGAGACCTGACAGAGTGCCCGACGGGACCGCAGGACAAGGGAGAACAGTAGAGGAGGTCGCAATGACCGGACCCCCAGAGGGGTCAGCGAGGGAGACTGCAACTGGCCGAGCAAGCTGCTCAAGGGCAGTGCGGTCACGAAAGAAACAGCGGGAAGCGCCTGAGTCCAGTGTGAAGGTGTGCAGTGCCTCAGTAGACGCAGTACCAGAGGGCGCAGACTCACGAGTACCTAGAGCAGCAGCCTCACCAGCACCTGGGGCAACAGACACACGAGCACCTAGTGCAGCAGCCTCACCAGTACCTAGAGCAGCAGACTGGATACCGGGGTCAGGCGGCACACACAGGTGACAGGCACCCTCAGCACTAGTAGGAAATGCATACATGGCAGTGAGGATAGCATCATAGTCAAGAGCATAGATATCTACCCTCTGCCTAAGCAGCTCCACCCAGTCGGGGAGCTCAGCCGCGTCGCCAAACTCTGTACGCCAGGCGTCGCTCAGACGGGCGAAGCAGTGGGACTCTGTGTGACCAAACGTCCCGCAAGGCTGACCAGTCCGAGCACCAGTGCGAATGACGTACGGGCAGCGAGCAGTACCCCGTGACCCTCCACGCTGAGCGTACCACTCACGAAGCTGCTGGGGCGTGAGGGACTCACTCGGACGTCGCGGGAGCTGCATCTGGCCACCGCCAGGAGCAGCAGTAGCAGTAGTAGCAGCAGTAGTAGTAGCAGCAGCGCGGCCACCCCTACAACCCCAACCAGCATACCACTCACGAAGCTGTTGGGGCGTGAGGGACTCACGCGGACGGCGCTGGAGCTGCATCTGGCCACGCCAGGAGCAGCAGTAGAAGTAGAAAGAGCAGTAGCAGCAGGAGCAGCAGTAACAGCAATACGGGCAGGGCAGTGCTCACCAGTGGCGAGAAGGGCAGGCGTACGACGGTGGTAACGGCGAGGCCGCTACCACTGCAGGGCGAGGGCTCCGCGGCAGCTGCAGGGGCGGCTGCTCCAGGGGCCAGGGGCGGCTGCAGAGGTCCAGGGGCGGCTGCTGCAGGGGCAGCTGCTGCAGGGGCGGCTGCTGCAGGGGCGGCTGCTCCAGGGGCGGCTGCTCCAGGGGCCGGGGGCAGCTGCTCCCTTTTTTTTTTTTTTTTTTTAAATAATTAATTATTTATTTTAGGGTTTGGCAGAGCGCACTCGGCGCTGCAGAGGCGGCTCGCGGGCTGCAGGGTGGCTCGGGCAGCAGCGAGGGGGGGGGGGGCGGCGCGCGGCTCCCCAGGGCGCCGCGACGGGGCAGCGGGGGGGGGGGGGGGGGGGGGGGGGGGGGGGGCGCGCGCGGCTCCCCAGGGCGTCGCGACGGGGCAGCGGGGGGGTCGCGCGTGGCTCCCTAGGGCGTCGCGACGGGTCAGCGGGGGCCGAGCGCGGCTCCCCAGGGCGACGCGACGGGACAGCGGGGGTCGCGCGCGGCTCCCCAGGGCAGCGCGACGGGGCAGAGGCAGCGCCCACGGGCGACACGCGGCTCGGCAGGGCAGCGCGCTGGCTGCAGGGGCGGCTCTCGGGCCTGACGGGCCTGCAGAGGCGGCTCGGGGGGGGCCTGACGGGTCTGCAGAGGTGGCTCGGGGGCCTGACGGACCTGCAGGGGCGGCTCGAGGGCCGTACTAGCTTGCAGGAGGCAGCGCGAGGGCTGCAGGACGGCACGCGGGCAGACCGAAGGGCGGGTCGCACGGGGGCGCACGAGGGCGCACGTAAGGTAGGGCGCACGAGGGCGCACGAGGGCGCACGAGTATAGAAAGGCGCACGAGGGCGCACGTAAGGTAGGACGCACGAGGGCGCGTCTAGCGGAATAGTGGGCCCGTAGGAGAAAGCGGTCCTAGGTAGCAACCTAGGCTCGTGATACCATGTTAGAATGTAGAACTGAACGAGAATGTGTGAAACTAGGCAGCAGGGTGATACAAGTAGGAAACCCTAGCAATGTTGTACCCCCTAAGGCTAAACCCACTATAGCCTACACAATATGAACATGTATAATGTTTGACAACCGCCCCGTAGGTCAATCTTCGAGAATACTCGAGCTGTTCGCAGTTGATCTATCAGTTCGTCAGCGCGGGGAATCAGGTGATTTTATAGTTACTCGGTTCAGTGCTCGGTAGTCAATACACATGCGAAACCCTCCGTCTTTTTTCGGAGTGAACAGTATCGGTGCAGCGAACGGTGACGAGCTCGGTCGGATGAACTGCTTCTCTAACAGGTAATCTAACTGCTTCCTTAGTTCGTCGAGTTCGGGCTGTGTTAGTCTGAACTGTCACTGTACAGTTGGTTGTGCCCCCGGTTCTAACTCTATCTTGTGGTCGTGTGCACGCTGAGGTGGCAGTCCTTCCGGTAAGTCATTCGGGAAAATCCCCGGATACCGTTTTAACAGTTCCTGTAGTTCGGGCGGTACAGCTTCGAGCAGTTTCTGAAAATCACTCGGCGCCTCTGCTGCTTCCACTACTCCAATGTCTACTGCGTACACGTCAGCTCCAGCGGCGACAGCCCGTTTCATCGTGATGGGGTTGACGTGGACCGTTGAAGACTCAGGCGACTGCCAGCGAGGTAGTTCGACCCAGTTACCGCTGCTTCGCACAGTGCAGCTGCCTGTCGTCCAGTCAATTCGCGGATTGTAGCGTCGCAGCCAATCACGTCCCAGTAAAATGTCATGCCCATCCAGTGTCGTCGCGAGCATTTCCTGTGTAAACCCAAAGTTACCCCCGCAGCGGACTTTCTCTCTCTCCACTTTCTCCCGTATGGCCAGAGGCGTGCCGTCGACTAAGCGTGCGTCTATCTCCGGTAAGCAGCGGTTAAGTGTCAGTTGAAGTTTTCGGGCGGTCGCGGTGTTAACTAAGCTGTGACTTGCTCCTCCGTCGATAAAATTCTTGACTGCTGTTCCCTGTATTTTCCCGTAGATCAGTATTGGACAATCAGTCACTGTACCCTCCTTATTCATCCGAGCCCGATCGATAGCATGAATCGGTACTGTGACCGGTGAGGGTTGGTGAGGTTGGGCGAGAAGGCTGTCTCGTCAGTAGTTGGCCCGACTTCTACTGATTGCTGGCGTTTCCCTGCCTCTGAGACTCCCTCCCCTGCTCTGCTCCCCGGCGCCTTAGTTCCTCAGGGCATTCGCTCTTGCGATGTCCCGGCCTGTTGCAAGCAAAGCAGCGCCCCTTAAATGGCGCAGCAGCTGCATTCACCGCAACGGCGTGTACGGTGGCGTGCTCGATCGGCCCCCGAGGGCGATGTCCGTAGTAGGACCCCGGTCTCGGTCGGCGTAGGATATCGATTTTCTCAGCGAGCGCTAGGATTTCGTTGAAGTTCGATAGCCCGCGAAGCATAATCTCGTGCGAGATGTCCGGCTTCAGCCCTCCGACGTAACGGTCCACCCGCTCCACCTCGTGCATATAGCCGACCTGCTCGCACAGAGCGAGAAAACCGCTGGTGTAGTCTTGAACCGACCCGAGCTGTCGCCAAGTACGTAGATTCTGGCGCGCCGAAGTCGAAGCCGCGATAGGTTCAAAACGCGCCCGTAGTCCCGCGCACCACGCATCCGACGTGCTGTACTGGGTTGTTTCGCAGAACGAACGCCAAGTAACGGCTGGCCCCGTGGGCTCTACCTCTCACGACGGCGACTCGTAGGCGTGCGGCGAGGTAACGATCACTCGCCACTAGTCCATGGTGGGGCCCCGTGGCAGTGAAACTGCATATCGAAGCTTCGCTGCGTCCGAGATGACGTAATTAGCGTAAAAAAACACGTTCATCGTAAAAATCCACGATTGAACCGTCGGACCCCCTAGTTGGCTAGGATCGAAACAGGGCGGGCGTTGCGGCTTGAGCGGCATCGGCTCGTAAATGTCGTCGTTGCCTGCTGGTGCCGTAAATTCGACGTGACGGTGTGTTTCGCGCGGCGGATTCACGGTCGGAATGGCCCTGGTCCTCGTCATGCCAGGCATTGACTGGGCGGCGCCATCACTGGCTACGCCTGAGCGCTGTCCCACGCTGACGTGCTGCGACAGTGTGCCGGACAAAATGACGATCGGCTCGTCCGTTTGTGCAGGTACATTTGCAGGTGTTGATGTTGGTGCAGGTACGTTTGTTGCTGACTAACGGCGGGCGGCGTCGAGTTCCGCCATGATCATCGCGACTTCGAGAGCCGAATTCTCGAGTTGGCTCACGAGACGGTCGAGCTGCTCCTGCGTCAATGTCGCGACATTATATACAGCCATGGCGGGGGTGTCAGGCGAGCTCAGCGGGAGCCTCGGTCGTGGCCCTGCGTGCTTGCGAGAGAGCACTTCGAGCGGTGGTGCTTGTTCGCTGAGAGACGTCTACCCCCCCAAAAATTGAGATAGTGGGGAAGCGAAGGTGTGGGTGCGGTCCGAGAGAAGATCGTAGGCTCTGAATACCAAGTGTTACGAGTGCAATTGAGCGAGCGAGCGAGAATTGCACTATCGAAGCAATACAGTACAATGAGCGAAGGAATGAGCGAGAACTAAATAGCGAAGGCCACAGTGGTAACGGTAACGAACTGTGGTTGACGCGCGACGGGCCTGTGACTGAGGTCGGGACTGAGGTTGGGAAAGTGTCGAAGTGGAGGTCCGAAGCGCGGGTTACCAGCCGAGCCGTGAGGTTGGGTTGCGATATGCGAAGTGGCGGGAAGATTGTCAAAGCGAGTGTCGCGAGTGGTAACGGTGCCGAGTGTGGTGAGAACAGTGGTGTACGCGTTACGCAGGGATGCGGCGTAAGGAAAAGGAAATTTCCTTACAGAATCATAGAATGACTAGAAAAATGAAAGTACAAGGGAATAAAAACCTAAACTAGGAAAAACAAGAACACCTAGACTACAACTAGATAAATACTAAAAAAATATAGTTTGACACCCTGTCCATCCCTCCGCTGCATTCGCTGCTTCCCCTCCTCCGCCCACCGCTCCCACTCCTCCGCCCGTCCCTCCGCCCTCCCACGCTGCCACTGCCGCTCCGCTCACGTTTGCGCCAACCTCCGTGGCCCCCTCCACGCCCCATCTCGTTCCTCCAGCCGCGAGTCCTCCTGCTCCCACGTAGCCGCCCTCCGCGCCTCCCCCAATCGCCCACCAAGCCCCAGTCCCCTCCACCACCCCGCCCACCGCCTCCCCCCTCGCACTTCCTCTCCTCCCTCTTGCACCTCCCTCGGTTTTCCCCCTCCGTGCCCCCTTTCCCCCTCGCCCCCTCCCTCCTCCGCCTGGCTCCATCCAGGCAGCGCGCGAGGAGCGCCAGGAACTGACGCGTGACGTTCAGCCACTGGCTGGGCTACGCAGAGATTGCAGCTGCCGCGACTGGGCGACAACAACGCATGGTCGCATGGCCTCAAAACTCGCCTGGGGCGGCTTTAGACTAACGTGCATGCTACGCCTGCCGCGCGCCCGCTGGCCTAGTTGCGACGTCTCGCGGTGCAATGCGCGTGGTGGTGCGGAGCTGGTGTATTACGCCTGTGGTCTAGAGTGGCGTTATGATAGAGGAAGTCGCGGGTGAGCAGAGGGTGCGCGGAGGGTGAGCTATCTGCGGAGCAGAGTGTGCGCGTCGAACAAGAAATGAACGCGCGAAATTTGAAAGGTGGAATGAAGGCGTGTGCAATCAGCAGTTCGGTTTGCGCTTCAATTTTGCTTGACATATTCTGGACATGTCTGGGTTCGTGTAGCGCACATGAGTTCAAACGCCATAGACGGATTTCGTGTCATAAGTCGGCGTTACCAGGGTCCGAAATCCGTGAGTTCACGTTCGCGAAACTAACCAACGCGTTGTGCTTCGTATGCGACAGCCCCCGAGTATCATAGTTTCGTTCGGTAAAAGGGCTACCGCTCACCAATACTCGTCAAAATTGTTGTCCTAAACGTTTTTTGTTCAGGCGCTCTGGGTGTCCGCGTGGTAAAAATTCGGTTCGCGCCAAGTGGACACAACCGGTTTTTTATACGTGTGACAATACAGTTTCACTAACGAGCAACTTTACGTAAAAGAATTGTCAAAGCCTAAAAATCAGTTTGCATGAAATGCCCTAAAAGGGACTTCATTCGCATGAGAAACGTGCAAAGGTAAACATCCCCTTTACGTGCAAAGGGAAATTTAAACGAAGCAGCTCAGAAGCAGCATGGCGTGAGCTTATTTCTAAAACAAAGTTGCACTATTTCAGAAAAATGTATAATCTAAAAACCTTTATAGGTTCTGTATAGGAGATGACAAACTCTTCTAGTGTACCCCCGGACCCTTTTTGGACCATCAACATTGATCGGTGTTGGAAAATCTTCGTCTATTTTGGGAACGGTTATATTAGATCTATCGGTCCGAAAGGTTATTTAACAATTCTATAACTTGTACCAACAGCACATGAGCTCATATAGAGCACGCACAACTTCCACTATCGCGATATGCCTATAAAGGAGCACGTGATAGTAGAAGGTAGGTCAACGGTCGAGAGCAGGGCCTCATATTCATGTTTAGGGATCCTCTGCACTCAGGGCACTAAAAAAAGGTGGTCGTTCTTGAGGCAGAGTCCTAAGGCACACCCTGATTTATCAGAGCATGACAGGACTTTACCCTGAGCCTGCAGGGATAGCATTCCAGTGCGCTAACCAACTGGGATAAAATGGCATGTTTCATTGGTGGGTCAACGCACCCATACCCTCCCAGTACGACACCTCTAGCCCTTGGGGGACCACTTCGGACCAGTGTCCACTTCCAACACCCCTCTCACTGGGAGAGCCCACCACTAGGGCATAGGAAGTCGCCGACAGCAGGAATCGAACCCCAGTCCTCCACGCTCACCGCACCATGCAGAGAAAACTGTTGGAATAACCGAAAGGTTACTATAACATTCCTGAAGACTCTCCCCTAGCGCACCTCTCCATAACGAAGCAGCGCTACTGTACCAGTACCGCAATAGCTCATATAGAGCACGCGGCAGACAGAAAGTCACCCGAAGGTCAACAGTCACAGGAAGTCAACGGTTGTGACTGTTGAACGTCCAGCAACCGTATCGGAGGTTACGCGATGCAACCAGGTAACTGTCGAGAATGGCAATAGTCACAGTTACTGTAGCTATGCAATACAGTTAATAAGGGAATGTACCCCTCAGAGTACATGGCTAGTTAGTTTGCTATTTATGCCCTTGTACTCCTATCCTATAACTATCTTGTTCTCTTTCAACTTTATTAACAAGGTCACTACAAAGACTTCATTGTCTTCCTATGACTTAGCAGGCTCATCCTATCCACTTCGATTCCCGGATTATATCAACATTGTATGAGAGCTAGAGTGTATTATAAATTCTGCCAAGTTCTTGTTCTTCCTATAACAAAATATTTATAAACTTATCCATTAAGATACCTGTTACAAGTCTACATTACTATGGCTCCTGAAGGGAAAACCACTGCAGACTCTCCGAGCCCACCACCACCAGCAACGACCAATGCGCCATCAGTGGTGACCTCCGTCAGCGCTGCATTCGTTGAGCAGCTTGTCGCTCGCATCAACGCTCTTGAGAGCCATCAAGCCATGAGCATCGATGGATCAAGCTACGCAAGGGGAGTTGCTGGACTTCCTCTCCCTGGAGAAGACCGCCGCGTCAACTCCGAGAAATTGTTCACATTTGACAACCGTCAAGCTTCAGCTCTTGCGCAAGACAGTCAACAACACGCACAGTCGGAAGCAATTGCAGCAATGCAAACAAAATTCTTTCTGACTTCAAAGTTGAAGACTTCAGTTCCATTCGACGGCAAGGATTTCTACACGTGGAGTTTTGAATTCGAGCTTCTCGTGACAACCGCGCAGATCTGGATGTACTACGACAGGAGCCTACCTTTCCCGACGGAAGGAACCATCCAGGAGAAGAACCAGTATTATCACGAGTCCCTCCTCGCGTACACCACTCTTCTTCAGAACCTCTCCCCCATCGAGCAGCTTGGCATCCGCTCTTACAAGTCGGAGTGGGCACCCGCGCATGCATCTTGGGAGCACCTGCGCAATTCATACATGACAACAGATCTGGTTACCATGAGTCGCCTTCTCAGCCAACTGACATCAGTTAAAATGCAACAAGGGGAGAAAGCGGGACCGTGTATCAATCGGTGCCACAATCTGCGCGATCACATCAAGAAGTGCGCCGGAACCATCCCTGACGACATGTTCGTCTCGATGATTCTCTCTGGACTAGGACCCGACAGGCGTCAATGTCAGTTATTGCTCCGCGCACGAGCAACCATTTCCGAGTCCGCTCTCTGCGCCACACTCCTCTCTGAGCAGAAGGAGATCGATCTGTACAACGAGAAGAACAACAAGAGGGAGAAGTTAGTGTTCTTCACTGGAGCAACTGAAGGGGAGCGACATGGAAAGAAGGGCACCTTCTGCAAGTATTGCAAGAAACCGGGTCACACCATAGACCGGTGTTACAAACGACAGGCCGCTGACGAAAGGCGCAACAACTCATCTAGTCAGAAGTCCTCTGCGCCCTCTGCAACTCCAGCCACGAAAGCAACCATGTCGCCACCCTCAGTCGCCAGCACCTCCCAAGCCCCTGCATGGATCTCCGCAAAGGACAAAGGGAAAGGAACGATTCTAGGCTGTATGGTGCGTCGCAGAGGCATTCGCTACTACAATGACATCAACTTTCCTCCAGACATTCCGATCGATCCGATCACACCAAACTCAGAAAATGATCCCTCGGTCAACATCTGGGGCGAAACAGTGAATCTCTTATCTGACTTCGAACTCCCTCCAAATACATCGGAGTCTCCCCCCAGCTTCCCCGCAAGAAACTACGTCGACCTTTCGCCGTACTCCGGAGATTTCGACCGCATCGTCACTCCAAAGATTGCCGGCATCGCGCGTCAGAGCCCCAAGAACTACAACATCTGGTATCTTGACAGCTGCTGCGGGCAACACATGGTGGGATCACCAACATTCATCAGCGACTCAAGGCGCATGCGGCGACCATGTGAAATCACCGTCGCCAACAACAACCGACTGAAAGCATATCACATCGGAGAAATTTACCTTGAAGCCATGGATACCCGCTTCACCATTCACATCAGAGACGTGTTGGTCATTCAGTACAACCTGCTCTCGTCAGCACAACTCATGAGGTGCAAGGAGAATAGTTTTGAACTGTTCTACAAGAAAACTTACATCAGGAAGGCAGTTGACAACGACGGAGTCTTCGTATTAAACTTCACGGCGGAAGGCACGACAGGCGACTCCGAACGAACCCTCTTGCTGAAGTCAACACCCACCTGAGGCACCAACTTGGTCGCACCCTAAGGAAATGGACCTCGAGCGCCCCGCCTCAGACGGACTTCTTCGCCTGCGCGCCGTCCCAACTGCTTCGACCTCCACCCCCGGAGATACCGGACCTGCAACAATGGAACAGGAAGAAGACAACGGGAAGTCAGCAGCTGCAGAAGCTAACACTTGAGGATGGGGAGCAATCGCTGGTACCGGGTGGGGCATAACAGGACTGGTCTCACCCAGCTGGACCACTCCCAGTCCTACCGTTGGTGCTTGGGGAGTCGTCCAAACACCAGAAGAAGGAGCTGCTGCAGGAGGCGGTTGGGGGGCTTCAGCTACCGAAAGCGGATGGGGACCCCCAAACTCTCCTTATTCCGAGGCTCCAGCACTCCCCCCTGTAGCGGTGGCGGAGATAGATCCGTACTGGGCGACGCGCGGAACCAGTTGGGGCGGACCTCCTCTTCCAGATCAGTATGCTCCTGACACACCAGAGGACATACAAGAGGAGTCAGAAGAAATGACGTACGAATACGGAGGAGCAACAGAATTACCCGAACCTACCGAGGAAGCACCGCCGCCGGAGCAAGGACCTCAGCTGATCTCGGTCACCAGCGATTAGTACCTCTACCATCGCGTCCCGATAGAGGGACTTCGCTCGTCACGGGCGACCCAGTCCACACCGCAAACACGGACGACATCATCGGAGTTCCCGACGCCGTCCTGGAGCGAGTCTCTGCCCGAGCCTTCGTAGCCGATGTGAACAACACCGCTGACAAGGGACCCGAAGAAGAGCAGCGGGACGAAGCGGAGAGAAACAAATATTATCGGAAGACCGTCGGTCATCATGCAGAGCCAGCAATTTGGAATCAACGACTCGGACATCCCTCACATGTCACACTCGAAAACTCAATCAAGGCCGGAGTCTTCGACTCGGACGCACTGCTGCTTCCCAGAGATGGTGTCCTCACAGCAACTTCAGAAGACCCACCGTGCATCATCTGCCCCACCACATCACTCGCTCACAAGCCTTTCCCCGACCTACCTCCTAGCTACGAGCGCTACCAACCACTTGAAAAGGTCTACAGCGACTTCATGATTCTGAACAAAGATGGGCTCGACGGCGAGAAATACACACTAACCTTCATCGACGCATGCACACGCTACGTCTGGGCTGTCAACACCGACTGCCAATCTCTTGTCAAGCTATATTTGTTATAGCTTATATTTGTTAGTCTAGGTGTACATTCTTGACCTAGGGTTAGGTTAGGGTTCACCGGATATATCTTGCTGTATGTTTCATTCCATAGTTAATTTTACATTGTGACATGGTATAGAGCTAAGTTAACCCTAGCGAGATTTTCCCATTAGGAAAAATCACTCGACTAAGTTATGGGC